CCCAATGAAAAGTCCTCCTGAACCTCATTTAAGGTCGATTGACCACCTTCTTTTTAGTCTCCTGCTGTATTGTTGTTGTATGAGTAGCATAATTAGTGGATTTGTGTATTCGCTTAATTTAGTGAAGTGCTTCCTACTTCTTTCATGGATGGTGTCAATGACGAAGGGAATACCAAGATCATTATGAATTGTTTCATCGCTAACGTACCAAGGGGCGTTAATAATTGTGCGAAGTGCCTTGGATTGTGTTCTTTGGATGAATAAATGTATATATTGTTGAATTATTTTCTAATTTTGCTTACGCAGTCTTAAGACCCATCCCTTGTTGCGTGTATGTGTCACATTATATCAAAATAATATTTAACATATATTAATATATTAACATATATATATTTTATTAATTGAATGTTAGAAACGCGTAAGCGTTCGAATACTTTCGTGTGTGAGTGCACATCGATTGATCGCAGCCTTTTTTCGCCGACTGCCCCAAGAAAAATCATGTCTTATGGTCCCTTGAAATACACTTTCAATTCCTACAAAGTTCAGCAGATTGATTTAAACGCAGGTACCACGTGAAATTGACTGTATACGAATAAAACGACGCAGACACAAAGGTGTCGAAACAGTTACTGCAAAGGTATGGTATTTTCCTTTCTGCTGTGTTCAGCAAAGTTCTCGAGAAATTGTATCATCGCTGCAATTGCACCCCAATGACAGTATCGTCGCGTAGAAACAGGACGGAGTCGGTGCGATATCATCGCGAGCCGGCGACATGTCCACGATGGAAACCCATTGAAATGAAATCCACCTGCGCTCCGGACAGGTGGAACAACCCTGACAAAGCGAAGCAGTTTGTCCTGTACTCATTTTCCCGACGGTGGTAAGTGGATTTCGTTGTTCCTCAGGGGTAACTGTCTCGCGAAGAAATACGGGACACCGAGGAGACGATAGTTCCGCAAATAAATCGGCGAAGATTATGCGCGCACCGGTCATCCGCGAAGCGTTACGCTTTATGGAGAAAAATCGTACGCCCCATGACGTCCTTCTTCTGCCCGCTCACTTCTCACTATGTCGCTAATGACTAGGGATGGGATCAAGTTTGACACAGTAATTTCTCCCAGAAATGTTCGAAGAATTGGAATTCGAGGAATTGAAAACGGCAGATCTGAGAATACTGAGTCGCGATTTTTCGAGCCTCGCGGCTCGCTTTTATAGAAACTCGGTGCAGTCGGCAATAAAAAAAGCAGCAGTCAGCATGCCGGTGTACATTAACCCTTTGCACTCGAAGTTTTTTTTGAGTCATATTACCAGCAACTCGAAGCCATTTTAGTGAAAAGATCATATTCACATGTAAGTTCATGATATAAGCATTAAAAGAAAAGTCATCGTTGTATGTTATTATTTTTTTAATTGTTTATGGATACAAACGTCATTTGTCACCAACAGCGAAACATCCTATAACTAATTTTTACGATTTGTTTTTGTTCTTATGTTAAAAACTGAAAATTATTTGCATTGTCTCCGTAGCGGAGCCCTCGAGTTTGAAGACAAATTTTAAATGGCTCCGCTCCGGAGCCCTGGAGTGCAAAGGGTTAATATGATTATAGAATAATCTTAGATGCAATGTCTAGACTGTTCAAATCTTATAATTGCTCTAAATGAATTAACGCTATCACTTGTTAATCATTCAGAATGTATAAGTTAGAATAGTTCATAAGCTAGAATTTACTATTTAACGAAAAAGAGCATGTCGGATCAGAGACTGCTTGGAAACAAGCATGGTACAAATTGTTGTTTCTTCTGTATTTCTTTTGATACATTGCAATACGTTGCATTGTTTTCTTTTCTTCCGAATCTTCTTTTCTCGCTGCTGCTTCTCAGAATCGCCTAATCTCTTCTAAGTACGATCACGTCCGATAAACGAGATAACGACCGTCAGAATTTTCTCTAAAGCGATCGGGAAAATGAATCGGCGGATTAATCGTTAAACCACCTATTCATTCTTCTTTCCGGAATACACGATTTTTTAACGAGTGATTGCAACACGATTGCATCGTTGACTCTACTTATTAAGCAATCGCGATATCGCAAATATCTAAAATCGAAATTTCTGACGCGTCGCGATTTGCAATAAAAACCGGTATAAAAAAAGAATTCCTGTCACGTGAGATGACTCGGCGACTGTAACGAAAATATTTTACGTTAATCGCCTAAGTGTCTCGAAATTATGTAACTTGCCGTTTCGTATGTAGTTCTTCGATTAGCTATTTGTTCAACGATCGAAATTTTAAAGAAAAGCAAATCATTATACACCTGACTATATACAGCTGCGAGCCAGTGTCTGAACAAACTGAATATAGTATATAAACCAAAGTAAATCGTTATCTTTCGCAAACGTTGAAGAGTCCGCGACCAAGAGGAATCTTTAATTCGAAGTAAGAGAATATCAAGGACTAGACTAAATCTTCCTTCGACAATATTTTGTTCTATTTTGCATAGTCCAATATTTCTTTCACTTGCCGTATTCTGTAAACAATATTTCATTCGAATTCATTTATTTTTCTTTAATTATTTTGTAAATATAGTCGAAGTACCGGAATTTTGCCATTTTAATTTGCGCGTAAATTATATTAACAGTTTCCCCCAAATTGTTCACTCTCGGTGAACTCAACGATTAGCAGAATTAAATATTTCTCACATAAATTAACGAGTCGTTGCACACACACACATTGTTGATTTTTAAATAAATTTATCAAAACTTCTCATATTACGTTCTTCTATTATCACTGCTATTATCAACCGAACAATATTTTTGCATTTTTCTTAAGAACAGTTTGAATGCAAAATTTTACTCTTGATCTTGAAAATATTCTTAGAAATGAAAAGAATATTCGATTCATTAACGCTCACGACAACGAACAATTATTTTTAATGAGCTGCGTGTAGAATTAAATGATTGAAGGATCGAGGCTGTTGGAAACAAAGTTGTAGAACAAAGGATATAAAAGAAAAAAGCGGGACTAAACGGTAAAATTTTACAAAAATTCGTAAATAATCGAACTGGTTCCACTGTGTCAAATTTCCGGGGATTCTTAAAGAGTTTCTCAAGAGCAATCGACAAACAGTTGTCGATTTGGCAACGAGTGTATCATTAGTAAATGGACTAAAAAAAACAGATGTACACACATAACCGGTAGTGCGAAACAGAATCTATTCTCAATGTATCAGCTAGAGATGAACATATTTATATCTTATCGATGAGTGATGTTACTTATCGATGAGTGAGCTATCGACGATATCGACAAATTATCGATAATATTTTTTATATGCAAATGTACAGTGCCACGATATGAAATAGAATATTTAGCGAATATGTAGGACCTTTTTCACTTTCAATACCGGCGATTTATTAGAATGATGTTAAAAATTTCACAATTCGAAGCAGTTTCACGACCGCGGTCAGTTATTTTTCATAAAAGAGTATTGTGCTCCAGTCTAAGAATATCAAGATGCTTTCGACAATAGGCACGAATTAAAAGTACTTAGTATTATGATTTATTTAATTAATTCCCCTGCCTCTGCATTTTGATAACATACGTAGGTACACTAAATTACAAAACGTTCTGAATACCGTAAGAGCATGAAATTATTTGCATAAATATTACATTTGATTGGCAATACAGTAAATATACTAATTGACCCTCGACTTGGAAACAAAAATGGACAATTCAGGAAGAGGAGGTACGATTATGCGNTTAAATAAATTTATCAAAACTTCTCATATTACGTTCTTCTATTATCACTGCTATTATCAACCGAACAATATTTTTGCATTTTTCTTAAGAACAGTTTGAATGCAAAATTTTACTCTTGATCTTGAAAATATTCTTAGAAATGAAAAGAATATTCGATTCATTAACGCTCACGACAACGAACAATTATTTTTAATGAGCTGCGTGTAGAATTAAATGATTGAAGGATCGAGGCTGTTGGAAACAAAGTTGTAGAACAAAGGATATAAAAGAAAAAAGCGGGACTAAACGGTAAAATTTTACAAAAATTCGTAAATAATCGAACTGGTTCCACTGTGTCAAATTTCCGGGGATTCTTAAAGAGTTTCTCAAGAGCAATCGACAAACAGTTGTCGATTTGGCAACGAGTGTATCATTAGTAAATGGACTAAAAAAAACAGATGTACACACATAACCGGTAGTGCGAAACAGAATCTATTCTCAATGTATCAGCTAGAGATGAACATATTTATATCTTATCGATGAGTGATGTTACTTATCGATGAGTGAGCTATCGACGATATCGACAAATTATCGATAATATTTTTTATATGCAAATGTACAGTGCCACGATATGAAATAGAATATTTAGCGAATATGTAGGACCTTTTTCACTTTCAATACCGGCGATTTATTAGAATGATGTTAAAAATTTCACAATTCGAAGCAGTTTCACGACCGCGGTCAGTTATTTTTCATAAAAGAGTATTGTGCTCCAGTCTAAGAATATCAAGATGCTTTCGACAATAGGCACGAATTAAAAGTACTTAGTATTATGATTTATTTAATTAATTCCCCTGCCTCTGCATTTTGATAACATACGTAGGTACACTAAATTACAAAACGTTCTGAATACCGTAAGAGCATGAAATTATTTGCATAAATATTACATTTGATTGGCAATACAGTAAATATACTAATTGACCCTCGACTTGGAAACAAAAATGGACAATTCAGGAAGAGGAGGTACGATTATGCGAGCCTTGCAGCTCGTTTTTATAGTTGTTGACAATCGGTAACTATAAAAACGAGCTGCAATAATATATAATAATCGTATAATCGTATCTCCTCTTCCCAAATTGTCCACTTTTATGCACAAACTGAGGATCACTGTAGTTCTCTAACTACTTAAGATATCATTAATTGCATAGAAAAGTTATTGATAAAAATTATTGATGCTATCAATAAGTAGGATAATCGAATTGTCGATAATCAATGAGCCCATCTCTATCAGGAACTTATCAACAACGTGGCGCTTCGAGTGGGTCACCATTGTTTCTATAAAACCTATAAAAGAAGCGGCAGCGAGACGCGTGCGCTGAGACAAACGTGATAATTACGAAGTGATCATCAGGCAACGAAAGCAACAATGGGCGCCCCACTTCCGTTACTGTTCTGTTCGTACAAAATATATTCGTACAAAATATATTATTCATACGATTCAAGATTAACAGAAATCGGACAATATTCTAACGAATTTTACTTGCAGTGTACCCAGCTCTGCTCACATCGTTGGCGCAGCACAATTACACGATCTTTCCGAACGAGGCTGGAGATCCATTTCTAATCCAGATCGACTACAGCCCACTGAATGATCAAGAAATTAGTGCTTTGGAAGCTAATCTGGACACTATCACCTTCACGCTCTTCACACGGTTCGAACGAATTTTTAGAATACTGCTTCATATAGAAAATCTTCCGTTAGCGTTCAAACTAATCAACTTTCTAGTCAAATTTTATTTCTATAAAACACCTTTGTTAATTTTAATACAGATAGAGTTCAAGAATGTGTGATTTCTTTTTGTGACGAACCGTTGTTAGATACTGCAACATTTTTCAGATCCTGAGCAAATAATTATAGATGTATTATTTTGCATAATTATTATTATTTTGTCTCGCCTTTCCACGCTGTTGTCATTAGACTGCGGATTTTCATGCAAAATATAAACTGTCTTCATTAATTGCAAGATACAGGAACTACGTAGACACTTATATATTTTCATAAAAATATGAATAAGCTGCCAGTAACGCAGTGGTATATCCACAACAATGTTTTTGCTATTTCGCATTGCATCTACTCATTTTCGTTATAAATGTCTAAAACCCAGTCTGATCATTACACGCATTACGCGAATACCTTTACCGCTTTTACGTTCCCTTACAAAATGAAGAACATGAAAATTTGAGGTACCAAAAGACCAGTCAATTTTTAATTTCAGAGGAAACCCAACAAACGGCCAAGATCTAAAACTAAACGACCCGAACGGCGTCTCGGCAAGCAAATGGAACACGAGAAGGCCGACTGCAGTCGTCACCCACGGCTGGCAGAGCAAAGGAACAGCTTCGGTCTGCACCCAAATTCGCGACGGTAACACGAAACGCTATCCGCTCACAATAATCTCCAGGGTTTGCAGGACTGAATAATCGAGAAATAATTGTTTTGCAGCTTTCCTAGACGTTATGGACATTAACGTGATCGTTGTCGATTGGAGCCAGATAGCCAAAGACGTAAACTATGCGCAAGTAGCGAAGAGTATTCCGGCGGTGGCCGAACATGTAGCAACTTTCGTGAACTTCATGCGGCGGGATTCGGGCCTGAAGTCCTCCACCTTAAAAATGATCGGACACTCCCTCGGTGCTCACGTCGCGAGCATAGCGGCGGGAAGGCTGTCGAAAACTTGCCTGGTTTCCGAAGTCGTCGGTGGGTAAAACTCCTTAATGGAAGGATCTCGAGATGAATTTAGATCTTGCTCCGTTTCCCCCTAAATTCCAAGTACGTAGTCTCCACTTCAGCGACTGAGCAAAGTGCAATTGCAAGTTTTGCGCGGCTCTGGGACTCGATATCGCGCGGATCCTCTAAAGTCAGCAAACAAAACAAGCTTGCATACCAGATCCTTCAGCCGGGACAACGCGAGGAAGCAAATTTGCATTCCATTCAACCGCTGCACAATCTGTTTGAAGGTTTCGCGTACGGTTCTCGGTCGAATAATGCGCACCGGGTGAAAAATAATACGGCTTATACAATACGTCATCGCTGTCTGAAAGTTAAAACCTCTTTCATCTTCCTTTAGCGCTTTGCGTTTGAAAAAGTAGCGAAGCGGAGCAAGCGACGCGGAGCAGAGGCAAAACTGAATGGAAGATGAAAGGGGGACGGTTGGATATCGAAACTTCTTTTGGACAATACCGAACTTAATGTTGAGTTATTTGCTAACTGACACCGTAGTCGGACTGAGCGGGGACGATGGTTCAAAGTTGCCGAGAGAAAACAGAGACGAGAGAGGGTCTCGAGAGGAAAGTTTTGATTGGCAAACCCGAACCTAATTAATGAAAACGTATACAGCTGTTTAGCTACCTCGAAAGATTGCACTTGAGTTTGATGGTTGTGAAAATTCCGTAAACATGGGGAGAAAATCGATGTCAGTAGTTAGAAATAATTCTTCCACTTGTTACAAGAATAGAATTTCAACAATAACTGTTTAGAAATAAATACTGAAAGGGATTTAAATAACAATTAGACTGATATTTAAATATTTCTAATTACAGCTCTCGACCCAGCCGGTCCAATGTTCGACACCAACGGCCCCGATAGCAGGGTAGACCGAACCCACGCCAAAACCGTTGAAGTTGTTCACACGAGTGTGTTGGGACTGTCCAAAGCAATCGGCACCTCTGACTTCTATGCCAACGGAGGAAAACAACAACCTGGATGTGCAGGCGACTACTTGGGTAAATATTGAACTTGGTTTTGTTACTTAAATTCATAATGTCTTCGAGCAACAAACATATTTTCTGAGAAACTGCTACCAAGGTTTGGCTGACGTTCTAAATTAATTAGGAACAACAAATCTCTTTTCGAATCACTTGTAGCTCACAATCCGAGTATTTCTGTCTATATCATTTTTTCCTGTTGTAAATTTGAAATGATCAAAATAAGTGACCAAAATATGTCATTGTGGTTAGATTGCAAAATAATTATGGATTCATAATCCATAAATATAAACTCTAGAAACTTATAACGGAAAATACAATGGAATAATAAAGCATTTTGTTTGCAATTTACTAAGATCTCTCATGAAGAACCTCATATTTGAATAATCTTCATTTCCTTTGAATTCTCCCATACAATTTTAATTACTAGAGGACCTATTCAGTAGGCGTTATTTGTACTCCTTTAAACCATTCATGGGGGGAACGCTAACTTGATTAAAATTCAATTCCATTGAATTCGTGGAAATCTCAGAAATGAAACTTCCAATCTTCTAAATTCTGCTACAGTACTTAAATTACTAGAGTGCTTACGACGTACACTATAGCATTTACTACCACATAGTACAGTAAAATGAAGAAAATGTATTTCCTTAAACAGGCAATTGTGCTCATTCACGAAGCTATGAGTATTATAGCTCATCCCTCATTCACACAAAAGGATTCCCTGGAACTCCACGAGATGGTGGTGAAATTAAATACATGGGTGGACCTACCATTGACCCAACGTAACTCATACTTTACTATTGCATAATTGTATACGTATTTTACATACTAAATTTGTGTTTAACTCATGTTCCCTATGTTACAGAGCTCACGGTTCCTATGACTTCAAAACCGGAAGTAAACCACCTTACACGCTTGATGATTAAGACTTATTCAAATATCTGGTCAAGATACCAGATCTGACTTTAATGACTTATAATGTTACTTAATTTGAAATTCTTTGTCGCTGAAGAATTTAAATGTGCGGATAGATGCGTAATTTTTATTATGAATAAGCAACGGATTTGAATCCAGTTACTGAAAATTAGTCTTAAAAAAATGATGTACCTCAATATTTAACATTGACAATTCCAATGTTTTCTTTTTCATTAATGTTTTGTCTAAAAAACTAAAAATATTCAGGTTCATTAAAACGCCTAATAAAATAATTGAAATTAGTACAAAAAAGAAAATATAATTTTGACTTACCGCTACCATGTCTTCTATCGCCTGAGTAGATTTAGATCCCAGCATAACCATGCCCATAGCGATACCGGCTGCTTCTCCAGTGACAGCATCATCTTGATAAAGATTAAACTTCAATTGCTCATACACATCCTGTCTGTGGGAGCCCATAGCGGCCAAACCCAATCCCAAGCAACCCCCATGACGAACCATCTATAAGACAAGAACGTTACATATTATAGAAACATGTTACATCAATGGATTGTTTCAAAGTCAGAAAAATAATGATCTTAAACTTGCCTCGTTTTGAGCATCCTTCAATTGTCCAAGTAAATAATCCGTAATGGCTGCACCATGATTCGCGTGAATTAGTCCTAACGCGTACAAACCACCTCCCTCAGAGTAACCAGCTCCAGCACCTGTATCTCTAGGGAGGTAGGACTGCATTAATGCTAAAGCCTCTTGTTCGTGGCCTCTATGGATCACACCCAAAGACGCTGTTGCGGTCAGCTTGGCCCAATTTGTGGCTCTTGCTAACCATTCTAAATTATCCCTGAAACATTGCGTCACTCAAGTCAATAGCGTCCAAAGAAATTTCTAAATTGTCCATAAAATATGATGAATCAAGAAAAGGAAAGAAATTCAAAGATTAGTTACCTCAAAAATTGGTCGCTAGTCGTGCCGGAATGCATATATGCATTAGCGATTACGGTGGCAGTATGACAAATAGAAACTCTAATAGTGTCCTTGGTATTTTTCAATATCAACATATCAGTTTGATTACTACGAATTAAGAATTGCAAATGCAGGTCGATAGAAATTTCCCCTCCCAAAATACTCGACAGTGCGTCTACACGCTTCTGTTGTTCACGTTCTTCGGCGTTCTAAATAGAAAATTGAAATTCATGGGAGTATTATTACTAACATACATCCCTATTAACTGATTTTCAAACGGAGAAACCTAAAACACGTTCTTAGTCATAATAGATGACCGCTTCCACTCTACGTTTCAAGTCTGAAGTAACAGAAATGGGGTTACTATAGCTATGAGCGTATTTCAAGTGTCTTCTTATGAAAACTAGATCATAATTAATTAGTAAAGTTTTATGAATTCTTATCGCTTACCAAACTTTCGACACTACGTTGAGCTTTGTCTTCTGGAGCAGGTGTACTAGATTCAGTTTCCATAGGGGTAACAGTAACTGTAGTGCTGTTAGTAGTGGAATCAGAACTAACATCCGTAGCTGGTTTCACAGCTGGCTTAACAATAGGTTTGACCATAAGAGCTCCTGGGATAGGTGCTGTTGCTCTCAGAGCTTGTAAGACACAACCAAGGAACTGCTGAGTAGCCGATTCATACAAATCAAACGCGATTTGATAGGCCATAAGAACACAATCTTGCGAGCCTTTACTCAGTCTGTTTAAGAGCTCGGCAACAGCTAATGGATCGTCAAGAAATATCAGGCATTGACACATATTGACATAGTCCGGTGTCCCTAAGTTACGATAAAGGCTCACTAAGCAGCGAAGAACAGTGTTACGGAATCCACGATTCTGAATGAGGCTCATCACAACTTGGAAAGCATAGGACAACATGCCACTCACGTCGTCCTACAAAAATAATTACAAAAGTAAATAAAAAGCTTATGCCGTATAAATTCATAGTTTGTGCTTTATTTGTATCCTGTTTATTCTTACCGATTGCAGGATTGCAGCTTCAAAGATATCCATTCTTCTTGTTTCAAGAGCAAGACCTAACGCTTGCCTATACTGATTATCATCTAAACACCGCTGGAACATTCTATTCACAATGCCTTCTAACCTGGGATCAATGCCTTTGCTACCCGGTGGTAACTTTCCTTCAGCTTCCAGAACGCGTTGCTGAGTATAGTAATCGATACATTTAGCTGAAAATAAAATTAAAACCAATTAGTTCGATAAATTTAATAAAAACACACAAAATAGCAATCAATACACTTACCAATGGTAGTATCTACATATTCGTTACGAGCATTAACATCAAAGAGATCTCCAGCTCCCAAAGCATAGGTAAGAGAATCTTCAAAACTACCTAAATGGTAATAAACTTTGCTAGCAACTAATGCAGCTAAGTCATGTTGAGGAAATCCTTTATCTTCGTGTAGAATTTCACTAAACAGTAAAGAGTTCGTTGTTAAATACAAAAGAAAGATATATAAACATAACAAGCTGAACAGTGGAAAACACATACATTTTTTCTATAGCCTCAGAAATCTCTGGCCAAAATTCATCGACGATCATATCCAATTTTCGCAGAGCAAACACCTTTAATTCTGGCATTGGCTCCTCAAGAAGGGAGATAATGCCCGCTGAAACAATAAGAATTATTAATTAAATTTACGTTGATAGATTTGCGAAATAATGTGTTTAAATGTAAGATAAAAATACAGTGATCATGATAAACTTAATAATAAGATTTAAAATTAAGCAAGCAATTATATTTTACACATCGAATCTGAAGTTAGAGGTTATGATCCACGAGATTTGCAAATCATTCCATGCATAGTGATAAGCATAATGTACAAATTTATTGTGAAATACATTAATAATATAATTTTAAATATAATATAATATAACACTCCGAATAAGTTTCTTACCTGCGGATGTAATATTCATATTGGTTCTCATGAGCTATAAATTCCTTCGGTAAAAACTCCAAAAGACAGTTTGATGGCAAGCTATGAACACGCCAAACAAATTCAACTGAAACATGCCACAAACTTTCGTAATGATAACCAACGTGATAAGAAAAAAAACCAAATGTCATATGATACTATACTTTTTGTATGTTACGTAGCATTAAATGATACATCTTTTTATGTCTAAAGAAATAAAAATCTTTTAATAATAAATACATAATTTTTAAAATAAAATATGAAATTATAAATCATTTATTCTTTTAAATTTTAGACTTCGTGAATGGTATCACTGTAGCAGAAACTTCATACGTATGTCATTGTGACTTGGAACAAGATCGAAGTGGAACGCGTTTGTGAGATACATGTAATTATGTGCTTATAGTATTTTACAAAACGATAATAATATCAATATTAATATTACTATAATGGCAGAGAAAACGAAAACGATGAGTCACGTGAAACATATTCCAAAAGATGCTCAGGTCATAATGTCTATAATGAAAGACATGGGAATAACTGATTACGAACCGAAGGTTATAAATCAGTTACTTGAATTTACGTACCGTATGTATTACACATATTTAATTTCTTAACCATTATGAATGTACTATTCAGAATACTTGTTAACGTACTTTATTACTTCATATTAATTGTTCAAAACGACTCATAAGATAACTTGTTTACAATGAATAGGTTATGTTACTTGTATATTAGATGACAGTAGAATTTATGCAAACCATGCGAAAAAGAAGTTCATTGATCTGGATGATGTTAGACTGGCGGTTAAAATGCAATTAGAACGCACATTCACGAATCCGCCACCAAGAGATGTATTGTTGGATGTTGCTCGTGCTAAAAATAATATACCATTACCATTTGTGAAACCTAGTAATGGTTTAAGATTACCACCTGATAGATATTGCTTAAATGCAACAAATTACAAACTGAGAAATGCACCTAAAAAAGGAGTTGGTAAACAATTGCATTCGTTAGTTGGAAATAATGTTCAAGGTAGTCAATCGAAGATCAAAGTGGAAGGAAATAAAACTGGTCTTTCTATTGTTAAAAGGCCAGGCACACTGGCCACTGTTGCTAGAACCCAAACAATTTCGATACCAAAGCCAGTTTTGAAATTTTCGACAGGTAAATTTTATACATTGCAATTTATTAGAAAAAAAAGAGTTTGATATCTCTTAATTTATAGATCCCTATGGAGTCCTGCATTCCCAGACATCTATCCCCTCTATCCATATTTCATTAAGAACCCAGTCACGTAAGATGCGAATTCCTTCATAGAAAATATTAGAATTATGAATGTAGTTTCCTAAATTTTTAGCCTCAACAGGACCAGCCACGGTAAAAGCTCAAGTTGCAAAACCAAAAATACAGATCTCGTCTGGGCAGACAATGCCTCCCGTCAAGATGGAGATGGAGGACTCTATGAAACGAAAGAGAGAAGACGACGATTATGACATTCCATAATGATAAATAGTAAATATAGAATAAACTCTGATTTTACGTTTCTATCGTATGGGATAATGTTAATTAGACTGTGACAGTGACAATTTTAATTTATACGACGTAACAAAATATTCAATCAGTTTAAATCTTCCCATGACCAATGCTATTTTCGATGGAGTTGCATATTTTTAATTAGAACAGTCAATATTAAGGAGAATTATATCATGAACATAATTCCGTATACCGTAATAAACAAGAAATTATTTTCACTACTACTTTTATAAATCTTCCGACAAATTACCGAAAATACTCTGTTTTCAACTATCATCGTCTTTCGAATAGATAGGTTCGATGAAATGAGTTCACGTAAAAATAAATATTTTATTAAGTAACATTTACGTTCAAAATATATTTCATGGTTCAGCTTCATTTTCATCGTCTTCGTCATCTGCCGCTGCTGCGTCATCCGCGTCTGTTTCCCCTTCCGTTACCGTTCCAGGAGACGTTAAATTTGCAGCGACTGTAGATTCTTCAGCTTCATCTTCGACAGGACCCTCTTCTTCGACAGGTACTTCGTCTTCAGCTTCGTAATCCGTTCCTTGTATGGGTTCGACCTCGTCGCCCTCCACTTCTTCTTCTTCTTCTTCCTCTTCTTCATCCTCCCTTAGCTGTGTTTTCATAGTTTCACCTTCGTCCTCGATCGGTTCCTCGTCGGGTAACTCTTTCTCCTCTTCTTCATCTTCAGTCCTCTCGTCCTCTTCGAACGGTTGTACAAGATCTTCCTCTTTTTCCGGTTTCGCCTCTTCTTTCCTCTCAGGTGCTTCTCTGACACACTTCTTCCGGTGAATAGGCAGAAACAGAGTGAATTCCTCCGGTAGTTGATCTTCCGTGTACAGTCTGTCAATGAATATGTTTCGATTAAAATCGAGCATATTGAATACTACAAAACTGCGAGAATCATGTATAAATGTAATAAAAATTTGAAATATCTAATGAAAATATTTTATGCCCGCGTTGACCACCGAAACTCGTTCTTCGACCGTTAATTTTGGATATATGTATATGTATGTAAAACGTTTCATAGGCTAAAATAATTTATGGCATTGTTCGTAGCGTAATTTTAACTAGATTAAATAATTTTAATCTAACCTTCCGCATGTGAAAATATCAATAGTTTAAAATGAATATTACTTGTTTCTCGATTAATTAATTTCACTAGGTACAACGATGAAGAAAGTATTGTAATTCTAACGCACTGTAACATTTATTAGTAGGCTGAAAATTTGATGCATTTTTAACGAAAGTGACTAAGTCAAAAACAAAACTGTGCCGACATCAGGAGAATTTGCGAATCTTTTACATTATGTACACCTTATACAAATGATTAAACGAAGATAGATATTTTTTACAACTAACTTTGGCAATTATTATTTTGTATAAAAATCTGCAGTCTAATTATCAGTTCTTATGATTTTTATATATAGCATCGATTACTGGTTACTGGTTTAAGGATTCAAAATTGAAATCGATTTCTCACGTATTTGCGAATTTATAAAAAAATAAGGAAACTTTTTCATTGGTTTCCTGATTCATTTACTAGAAACATAAGATAAATAAACTGTTTTATAACGACCACAAGACTATATTTATTTAATCGAAAAATAATTTCGCAAAGGAGAGTTGCAAACTTCTTAAATATTATACTAGCTGCTTTAAAATAGTAACGTGCATAAAATTCATTCGACTGTCTCGTTCAGTGGTTCCTAAAATAATTCAGTTCGCCCGAAAATCCGCAGTCTCTTTTACAGGGAGTGTAACGGCAGTGGTTTTCACCTGTCTGCGAAATAAATACGTCGAATCCGACAGTTCGCGTGGATTTGAATGCGCGTGGTCTCGACGTAATTGGTGCCATACGCTCTTCGCGTGAAATCCGACAGATTAAATTGAACCTGATTCCAACCACCGGACAGGCCGATTGGCATCGACGTGCAGAAGGGTTTAATGCGAGTAGTACTTTGGAAATTGCTCATTCGGAACCTCCTGCGCATATTCTTGTCATCAAGAATCTATAAAAACGAATAAACGATAAGTACGGTGCTCGAAGCGAATTGGAATGAATTCGTTTGATGACGAAGGATACCGACGAACAATATAGAACGTAGAATGGAAAATATGATACTTCTATAAGTAGAGGTGTTTAATAAAAAGTCAGAGTTAGATCATTCATTTTTTGCGATATTTTCGTCGAATTGAAAGAATGGTTTAATAAAAAAACTGGAGTTGGATAATTCATTTGGAACATGTTCGCGGAATTGGAACGGAGAAAACGATGAGAGTGATGTACAGACGAAAAATTTACTGTTATTTCGAACGTGAAATACTTCTTCATGTTCTTGATAATCATGATCAAGAAAGGAAGCCTAATCCCGAGCGACCCCCTCGGGTTCGATGGCGCAAAGATATAAGTTGTCGTGACATTGGTTCCCGTTAGTTCCAGGGCCAGAGATTTCACCTCCTCGTCCGTCACTCGTCGAATGTAACCATACTTCACCTGTTCAAGATCGTGCTCCTTGTATCTCTTACAAATTGAATACCGTACATTGTTCCGTTAACACTTTGATGGCTGCATTCGGTAATACTCCCTCCGCCATTGTTCCGCACAAATCGAGGAGAAAGTATCCTTCGTTCCATCAGCACGGCATCGAATGTTCAGTTTTACTTGCGTTAATATCCGTTAGGAAATATTTATTGGTAATCGATACGCGAAACTGAACGGACAATAGTTGCGACACCTTTTCACGTTAAACCGAGCTTTCTATCGACACTCCCGGCCATCAAAATATTAACGAGAGACGGGTTCTACAGTTTTTTCGTCATCCGGTGAAGACTTACGTGCATGCCCCATATTTCCAACGGCGACGAGCCACAGCTGTACAGAATAGACAGCAGTCCGCTTTGATACTGATTACGGAACATGGTTCTCTTCTTTCCGTTGAAAGAATTCGTCCAAGACCGATGTTCACGATTATTTTCACTGCATCGTTATTTGACAAATACCGCGACGGTGACCGTTCGACGAACAAAAGGGGGGAAAAAGAATTTCTTTGTTTCGGCTATCGAAACGAAATTGTCTCTCGCTTTCAGTTTCGGGTTAGTCGGGCTTCAGCCCCGAATAAATGACACGGTCTGCTTTATTCAACGTACAAAAACACCTTTATTCACTCGCGTATACAATCGTGCGTGAGTAGGACAGAATTTGGCCATCATGCCTCGAGTACCTTGTTCAGACGGCGCCTCTCGTTCTTGTTTAGCAAATCGGGGACAATCAATGTCTTCGGTGGCATCCCGACACTGAAGACACGGTCGATTCTGACGCTATCGATGGCGAACACCTGCATCATCGCGAAATGCATAACTTCGCGGTTCAGCTGACGTCTGATTTGTTTCTTGATAGTTTGCACGCGACGCCGGCAGACGACGTAACTTTTAACAGAATTCAGTAATTCGGCTGTCGATTAAATTGTCATAACGAGCGGAACTTTTAACATTAAAAACACCCGGCCCTCGGTTTGGCGTGACTCCAACGAAATTTTCGTATTTTTCGACACGGCACGGACCTCGCATGCCTTGAAAATGTTGAAAATTTTGTTAACACGTTCGCTAACACCGTCACAAGCGTGCAACATTCGTAGAAGAATAGACAAATTCATTTTACTGCACGTTATTATTTATAGACAGATCTGCGGATCTGTGTGCGAAATAAAAATTGTCTGCGTTAAATTATAAGAAACACGAATTGGATAAAATGTATTTCCTCTTTTAATAATTCTAATTAGATGAAAATAACGTAACGCGATGTCTTTAAATTCTTCGAATGTCTTACAGTTTTATATTTTATAATGGAGAAATTTAATTGTATTTAATCATCTTAATTGCGTAGGTAGAAATCGAACAAATAGTGGAAGCGAACGTGTTAATGCGATAGAGGAGAAATGGATGTTGTAATGCTCTTTTTAAAGATGTTAATATCTAAATGTTATAATGATTGCAAATCTTGAAAATTATTTCTGTCTGGCAGTGAGGCTTCTTCTTCGAAGAACGTAAAAGATATCAACCCTTTAACTGTGTACAACGAGTATATTCTTCATTAAAAAATGGTAAATTTTTATATTTCGACAAGTACACTCGTTCTATTATTTCAATAAAAATTATCGCGAATCGTGTCCGTAATTTAGACATTTTGGAATAATTTTACAAGAACTTGCTAAATTATACCGAATTATATTGATATAATGTGCACTTTTGTCCTAAAAATTGGTCCACGCATCTAAACGTGACTCGATTGTGGATTTTACAAACCGACAATAGTTAAATGAAAAACGTCGATTCCAGTGACAGAAAAGTATCTCAAGATCGATCAATGATCTTTTTGTTTTAATTTGCGAACAAAACAGTCCTTACTAAGGAAAATTCTTAAGACCGGTGTAGCTAGGATGAATCGACACGTCGCTTCTGTACAATTCTGGATAACATTTCATGTGTTTTGTGAGATACTTCCTGGGTCGTGTCTTCTTCTCTGTTGCCGGTATCAGCACAGTATGTACCAGTCGTTCGTCGTCATCCTCTGAGAAAGTACTCCCGGTGCTACTCGTTTCCCCCTTTTCCAGATTCTGAGCATCCATTCTGCCGTACAACTGCGAATACATGGCCATTCATTCCCATTGAGTGATTATACCAAGATATTACACGATTATGTCGTTCTAATTAATACTACAACTATTTACTTTGTGATTATTGAATGAGACGTTAGTAAATCAATTTATTTATTTGGTTGTAGATAATTTATTCTATACCGTAATTCAAATTTCGCAGCAGTTGAACGAAGACAGTTTAGTCTTCAACGTTCGATGGTTTTAATGTTAATGGGGTGGACACAGAATTTCTCAGTGGATATTATAGGATTTATAAAATTATTTCGTCTTACATTGAGATTGTGTGGATCAAAGAATAATTTGAACACCATAATGATTAACGTAATTTTATTTTATTTATTCTATGATTTATTTATTCGGTATATTTACTTTTTTAAATATTTCCAATATTTGCCGGTTATAATGTTAACATAATTCACACACAATTTGGAGATTTCATAGATTTAAATATGTTGAATTCAAATATGTTGAACACTGTGAAATATAGATTTTAAAAAAGTATAGTGGTGTGCATTCTCAATTTTTAATTGAATAGAATATTTAATAAATAAAACGCATATTTATTCTGTTTATATAGTTTTCTGAAGAATGAAATTTTAATGTGAGTTAAACTTGATCCAATATTAATTAAACGGATAGAAAGTAGTGCCTTTTACTTAAAAGTTTAAGAAAATATTCATTCATGTATTAATTTATCTCATAAAAAAATAAACATCGTCACGTTATTCTTTTTGACGACTCTATAATATTTTTAATTGAATAAATCATTCGACAAAGAAGTATTAACATTAACACAAAAGTTAAAAATGACAACATTCGGGAAGAATGAAATTATTTCTTCAGTGAACAAAATTTGAATGCTGACAGAACACATAACAAACGTCGCCCATCAATTCGATCACTGTAAGACCGACAAACTATAAAACGAGAAACAGATAAACGAAAAATATAACTGTACAAAAAAGAATAAACTAGTCGTTGAATTGTTATATTTATTTCTCCGCATCACAATTTGGTAACCGTTTACAAATTGATAGTACCTTACCTCTAAAATGTTCTCAAACACAAGAATACCTAAACGGGAATTTCTTTTACGGCATCGAATTTGCACAAAACCGATAAATATTCACGCATGGTAAACGGAAGATTTGGCCGTCGGAATCGCGACTGGGGTTCGCGGCGGTCGCCGGCGGTCTACGGACTGGCGAATTTCTCAATAGCGGATTTCGCTTGCGTGAAGAAACGGCCGACGAATGCGGCTCGCCTCTCCGTTGATCCGACGAAAGTTGCCCGATCTGTAACGAAGTGAGCCCCTGTGCCTCGTACGGATATCGATTTGGTTTCCAGGTGAATCAATAGAGATTCGGTTCATTGTTATTCTGATATATGTACGCGCGATACGATTCCGTTTATCACTTCTGACCACCTCGACACGTCGTTGAACTCATGTTACACTGTTCACCATCTATTTTGCGTTCCAATAACCCAGCAGCTGATTCTTGCGCATCCAGACGCTAATCTGAAAAACTGTATGTTTTACTTTCAAAAAACTGTCGGTACAATCGAACTCTAAAAAGTGATGGATTTCAGATTCTTTACTTTAGGATTATCGAGATTGTAAGAATACATTTGCGAATCATCATTGAATAATATGTACAGGACGGGTCGGAATTCATAGTACAACCGAGCAGGAGGTGATTTTAAGTGGAAAAATAGAAACAAAACATGGTATAACATTACTTTAACCGGAGCTCCGTTTTCGAGAAAATCGTCTTTAAAGCTTGTTCATCTTTATGAAGGATTTTTGTGCCACCAATTACGACCCATCCTGTATATTTATGCAGGAAAGAACGTGAAATATTTGCTTGAAAGATGACATCAATTTATCGAATCACTAAATTAGTATGGTTGAAGTTATCTCGGATAATAGAAGTTCGTTCGGATGGGCCAGATTTCTGCTGTATTATGTAAATCCATGCTAATTAGCTGTCCACGAAATGCTCAGCTGACAATTGCAAGAATTCGCAAAGATTTGCCAGATAATACGACTTTGAAACAGAACTCGTAAACGATTCGCGGATTTCATTTGCTCGGCACGCAGCTGTTGGCGAAAGTATTCGAGTGTTTATCGCTCTTGCTAGAAGTATTTGCATTAAATTAGCGACATGGTTTCGTTGCGATTGCTATGTTTCAAAGGAAACTTGTTGCTAAAATCATGACGATTTTATCCATTGTTACGGTTTACAATTTATTATGTGATTGTATAATTATTTCGTCCGATCGTACGCGTATTTCGCTACTTATTTATGAACGATCTAATTCACTTGTGAAAATAATGAGTTATATTAACGTTAGGATCACTAAGCATTAATGATCATTTTAAAGATTGACGATAGTTATAAACAGCTATTGGAACATGCGATGAAATTATTCTTGTGACAAGTTTCTGCTTATCTCGAAATCTATTACTATTTTTTATTAAAAGATTAGATTGTAAAATAGCTGAGAGAGAGAAAGAGAGAGAGAGAGAGAGAGAAAGAGAGAGAGAGAGAGAGAGAAAGAGAGAGAGAGAGAGAGAGAGAGAGAGAGAGAGAGCTTAGCAACATTACTAGGAAAAGGAATTTTTACTGAACAGTCAGAAATCATGAATTTATTAATCACTATCGATCGCGATCCAGCGGAGTTAGTCAAACAGAGTTTTCTCTATCCACTTTCAGCTAACACAAGTTGACCTAAAGGTTCTTTAAACTGCCTTGGCCTACCTTAAGGAACTAGGGTAATCACGTGACATTTCTAGAGATAGCAGCTTGATGTCTGCTGCACCGTTTTTGTTGTTCGACATAGAATCGCAAACACAGAGGCGCAGGAGTATACCTGACAAACAATGTATTATTTCGTCACCCAAAAATGGGGCTTCAGAAGCCCCATTACCATTTCCGTGTCGAGGTCATCGTTACCGATATTTCAGAAATTTAAGCTTCTTAGTGAGAATCGAGTATTACGTATACTTCATTTGTATTACGGCACATTTTATGATTTGGAACCGTTTCGAATGCAGGGGTTGAAAACACGGTTATAAGGTATAACAGTTTCGGTTTCGACTCTTCAGCGCTGATATTACATATATCGATTCTATAACTGTTATTTTTCGCTTCTGAATATCAGTTATGCATTTCGATTATATTTCGAATTTATTCAAAATAATTTTGCGATATATTTGTGCTTCAAAAGTTTTTCTGTACCTCGAGTTCTTTCAGCTATTTTTATTTAACCATTAGATTATAAGACAGACGTTAGAAACATAACCAATAACCCATCGATCGATTTGTGCTATTAAAAATGTTTTTTTATTTAAATCTCGTTGATTCTTTTTATGAACAAAAATTTAGACGATAAAGTAGTCTGGCGAAACAAATTATTGGAAACGTTAAATGATTAGAGATAATCGAAATCATCGATCGTCATCGATCACGGCGGTCGACGTTCATCGAAGTCAGGGGGGAAGGTAACCAACCGTCACCCTCGGTTACCTGTTCGGTTCAGCGTTATTGCCTGTTCAGTTGCAGCGCGATCGCCGGTAGAAGAAGTCGCGTTGCAGGAGTTCCTCTTCCAGAAGTGCTCTAACAAAGGGTGCACCACCAGGATGGCCACTACTGGACAGACCTTCGTGGCGAGAGGCACTTAACAATCTCATTGCCACACTCTCACCCATTCCAAGAGGTGCCTCTCGCCACGACGGCCTGCTTCCGGAGGTCTTTCCAAATGTACGTTTCCCTTTAATTAAAAATTTCTTTTATATTTTAATTATTCGGCGACCTTTCAGTCGCGATTTTCACTTTAACTTTATGCTACCTTCCCCTAATTGAAACAAATTTTTTTGCCGCTTCAATTTCAATCTAAATTTACTTCATTTTCTTCTGAAATAAAATTTTTATTTCCTTCTCAGTTTTAATCGGCAATTAACGAACGTTCGCCCAAAAACAAATTTTATGTTCGCTTCCCAATTTCACACGAAACTCAACATACTTTCTACTAGAACGAAATATTAGTTTCTTCTCATTTTTAATCTGCTATTCTACTTTCTTCTCATTTAATAGAATTTTATCTTCTTCAGTTTCGACATGAATTTATCTTTTCGTAATATAGATGAATATTTTTGTTTATAATTTTAAATCAGACATGATGCTTGAGTTATGAAAACTTCTCCATTTCCTGTTGCTTTTCTATCCTGCTGTTTTGCTTCCTCTCACTCCTACTTTCGTTTACCGAGAGTAAAAACTCTCGAAGCTGCTCTCAAATGGACACACAACTTGCGAGCACTGGCGAGAGCAATCCGCGCAAGAAACTCGCAGGACGAAACGCTCCTTTTCTTTCCCTTCACTCCTGCGCTGTTTACAGCGCCGTCGAAAGTCTGTAACAAATGTATCGTATAATTCTGTATGAATTCTGAGAATTTATATCTTGTTTTCTCTTACTTTGTTGTAAGAACATTTTCGTACACGAATGCGCGAATTTACTCCAATAACAACAAATATCGTATTCAATTTCGTACCAATGTCTATGTAAATACTGTTATTTAATACTATAATTCTGTTGTTATATTAATTTTTCATTCGATATACGGCCATTAACCCTTTGCGGACGAGAGGCGACTCTCGGTCGCCACGGCGTTTCGCACGGCAGGACGAATGGCGAGTGAGAGGCGACAGTCGGTGTTTATGTTACATTTTATTATCTCTAACATTATTCAACGTACTGTTTTATGAAAAAGTCCCTGAAGTGGTGGCGCAAATTATTTTTCCGTGGACTGGAAATTTGTTTAATCAATTCGTACATTCTCTACAAACATGTAAAAAGGCAGAGAAACGAACAGCCAGTTACACATTTGAACTTTCGCAAAATTTTGATCAACAAATTGCGAGGAGATTTTCGTCAACCACGAGATAGATCTTCAAGTTCGATGGCCAACTCTGACGAAATTCGTCTAAACGGAAAACTGCATGTAATTGTTGCCGGCACAAAGAAAGATTGCAAAGTTTGTTCCAGTCGAAACAAACCAGAG